TAAACTGCTCATGTTTTCTGTAAATTCTTCCTTCATCCCTCTCACCTCAACTCCTGATATCACTTAGGCAAAGCATAGAAAGAGTACATTAGCATGGCTTAATTTCAAATCTTTTATATCTGTTCTTAGTTATTCATCATTTTAGATTGTTGTTATGAACTGTTCTATCAAAAGGTTTAGTCAAAGCTAACATTTTTTACTAATGTCATTTTTCCCCAGGAGTATGAAAAATTCGATTATTCAGAGTGCAAATATGATTCAGCAAACCATTTATCAGAATCTCTAAAGAGATAATATAAAAAAGTGGACGGAGAAACCTGAATTAAATGGACTTTATCAGTTAAAAACTGCTTCCCTATGAGTGACTGGAAAGGAGCAGAACAAAGTCAATTACTGACTGTAATTAAGAAGTGGATGCATTTAAACTGTAGAGAGCAGTAGCAGTCTTCTCCAGACTGCCTAGTAACTCGAAAAACTAGTGGGAAGACAGAGGAGATGAACTGTATCTGTCTGATAGTATGTTTTGAATGAATTGCATTCATAGAGTACTCTGATCTAGCGTTCAGAAATAAAAATTTTAATCTCTGATTCTGTGCGATTAATGCAGTAATATACTTGGACAAAGAAACTTTTAAAACACATTTTGCTTTGGGTTGTGTTAGCAATAAATTATTCCCTTTGCATTGTATAGTATGCACCAAACATGTAAATGCAGCACTGAAGTGCTTACATTTTATCACTATTTGAATTGACTAGACTGAAAACTGAACTATGCTGGCTCTTTTGTAAACCCTCAGAATACAGTAAATCTAATTATGTTTGTTTCTTGTACTTTGAAAAGATGATTCCTTTTTATAATTTTAATAATGGGTTATTTGTACTAACAGAGAAATTTTATATTAGATTGTACATTATGCTTGGTCCAAGTTATTTTCTTTGTTTATTTAAAATTTTGTTGTGACATAGTATATTCATAATCAAAATATTAGAATTTATATTAGGATAAAGGTAGAGGAGAGGAATATTATACCTCCTTCTCACTTATAGACATTGTTAGGTTTCAAAGATCAGGTTGTTATGGAAAATTAGCATCATGAAAGAGTCGGGGGCCATATTCCAGCTTCAGAACTGTTACCCTGCCCACAGTTGTTCACCTTCTGGTGGGCATTCTAGCATGACTCAGTGTGCCTGTGGGGTGATAGACCCTCTTCCCCACCATTCCTTCCCCACCACTGCAGAGCCTTTAGGACTGGGAATGGTGATTGTGGCAGTCAGATGTTGTCCACCACCTGTAGTTTCCTGCTACCCATCCTGGACAAAATTGACACGTGTCTCCATCATCCTTAACCCTGAAGTCCCACAGCCCCTTGTAGTCTCTTGCCCTCTAACCCCCTGCCTAGGTACCACCATAAAAGTCTACAGCACTTCCAGGTCCTTGCCCAGCAGCCCCTACACACCAGTGACCTCACACCATTCTACTGTATCATTTTAAGACCTCTATAACCAGACCAAGTCATCATGGCCAAACTGCAGAAGGCATTCCAAAGCTGGTTGGCCTCCATCCCTTGTATGACCTGGTTGTCGCTGGAGTTTTTGGTACATTGATCATTTAAAGTGATTCACAGAGGGTGCTGGTAGCTGGCCATAGCCTTGTGTAGATCTCGGACCAATGGAGGTACCATCTGAAATTTTTTCAGTTGTCATAATGTGAAATGTCAGATAACAAGATAGTCAACATATAAGGTGTCATTGTACTAGTTTTCGGGGGGCTAGTTTTTGTTGTTATTGTTAAGTGCCACTGAGTTGGCTCTGATTCATAGTGAACCTGCATATGGTTGTTGAAGCTGTAAATCTTTGTGGAAGCAAAAGTTCTCATCTTTCTCCCACAGAGTGGCTGGTAGGGTTGAATCACTGGCCTTGTAGGTTGCATCCACTGCTTATACTCTAGAGCCACCACATTCCCTTTGGATTAGTTAGAAGGTATTGTAGCTTTAGATTACTACTTATGTATGACACTTTAAGTAAAGAACATTGTAATATTCTGTAAACTGCAAAAATGGTTCCAACCATCCTTCCCCAGCATTCTCTACTTCTCAGCTATGTTTGAAAATGCAGTGACCACACAGAACTCAGACACAGTACTCACAGTTATAGGGTTTATTAAGGAAGTTAACAGGTTATATTCATGATTAGAAATACTCAGAGAACATTTATTTTAGTCTGGACAGCCTTTTCATAGCTAGCCCATATGCAGGCATCTCTCTCGTCTTTGGCCTCTGCCCTGCTCCAGTAATATCACAAAGTTTTTTCAGAGTTGCTGATAAATGTCCAAAGGCACTCCATTCCATTATAAACCTCAGCCTGAAGGCACTCAGCTCCAGTTAAATACCTTGAGACACCCCATTCCACAAACAAGCCTCCTGCTTGTTGGTAATCAACTTTACTTGCTCTGTGCGCTGGGAAGCCCACTGCTTAGTCTGGTGCTCTAGCTCTTGGTTCTGCTACTACTGCTGCTTAATGTCACAGTTCTGTCTCCTGGTTCAAGGAGATTCAATGGACAGGGATCTCAGGGTCCAAAGGAAGTAGCACTCCCTTCCTGACTCTTCTTGTTGGTATAGATCCCCTCTTCCTGTTTCTGACATGGCTCATTTAACATCCATCTTAGTGTTCCAAGATTTTGCAATCATAATGAATCCTGCTAACAATCACTCACAACTGAACAATAGAATCCTATCAGTATTTTGTCTCACATTCTCTTACCCAGACCCATCAGAAAAAAAGTTGTTTGGTCAGAGTTATGAAGACTATGGGCTGATGAGCCACATGCAATAATTTATTGAACTATAGATTATCTCTCCTCTTCAAGTTTTGGGCCCTTTCTTACTTGAAAGAAAAACTTTCCTTATAACAATCATTTAACTGAGCATATCCTTGAAAGTTTGTAAGCCAGTCACTTCATGCCTTTATCTTCTCCCATTTTAGATATCCAATTTTTAAATTGTCCATTCTTATCAACCCAGTATTCTGAGGAGGCAAGTATGTTCCTTGATATGAAGATTTTCCATTCTGGATGGATCTTTGAGAATCTGCATCCATAAGCAAAGTCCAGTTTAGAGTAAGCCATCAAAATTGCAACAATTTTGGTATCACAGGTCTTCATTCAGTTGGGCTGTGGTCAGTTCAGCTCTAGCCGTCCTAGCTAGTTCAAATGACTATCATCTGCACATTTGGGAGTCCACTCACATCTCCCTGCACTTCAGACCAACTGGCCCCTTCACGCTCCCTCTTTCAGCTCTACATGTCATTAAAATAATTAAGCATACATTAGCTTAATTGTTTTTTAGTGTATATTGTAAAACAGAAACCTGGCTTGTTGAGTCATTCAAAATCTCACATGCTGTTTTATAAATTAAATTTTGTTACCTACAGAAGTATTTGACAGATTACCTGTCAAATATTGGTGTAGGTAATTAAATCTTATTATTTCTCAATCTTTCACTTTTTATAATTGGATATAATTTGTGTTGCTTTGGGGATTTTGTTATTTGTTTTTAGTTTTGATCAAAAGAAATAAGCATTTATTATGACACATAGCTTCTGTGAGTTGGGAGTCTGAGATCAAAACTGGATCTAGTTTGGATAGTTTCTCTATTTGTAATTGTGAATAATATGGTGTTGATATGGAAATACATCTCACTTAAGAATGATTGCATTTCACGACTGAGTGTGGTTGTTTCTCTAGAAACAAATGACAAATTGATATATACACATGAGTGTCATCAGTGATTTCTTATGACTTTAGAATCATTGCCACTAAGTATTGCTTTAAGAATCATGAAACCTTCAGATTGAATTTTGGAATAATAATTGCCACTTTAATGGTAAAATTCTGTAAACATACTGAAGCATGATTTGTGATTACAGAAGCTGTGCCACCTTTCAAACTTCACCTCCCATTTAGCGCAAGTAAAGCGTAGAAGAGTTGACTGGCTTCTGAATGAGTATCTTGAAACATCAGTCCTCTAAACCTCTGTGTCTTGCTTAATGTATGACACTAGACAGGAAATGTTGGGCATTTCTGTTGTAACAAAAAGTCAATAATACAAAGGGAAAATCTTCACAGTTCAGATTGATGGTCTAATACAAAAGCGTTTCTACCCCCACTCTAATAAAATTCTTCTCTAAGTAGCCCTTTATATGTGAAATTCAGAGCATTGCTGTTTGATAAGGCCACATCCTTCTGGAACAATTCTGGAGAGGAAAAAAGTTCATTATAATGGAAAATGCAGTAGTTACATGCTAAATATTACCAAAGGCTTAGCATCATTGTAAGTCAGGAACCAGGATATTCATGTGATAAATAAGCTCCATGAGGGGGTCGAATATTTAAATGCACTTTTATTCTAATAAAGTTCCTTTATGGGGAAATTGGTCCTTTATGACTTTCCTATTGATCTTTATGATAGGAAAGTAGAAATAGCCAAATGTTATTCATCTGAATGACCTTTTGGACATATCTGCATTAGTCTCTTTGGTAAATAATCTATTTTAGAGCCCTCTATAAAAGGAAATCAAATATAGAGATACTATTAGATTTGAAAAAGACAAACAGGAAAGAGTTTAAAGTGCAGGATGAATTCTGACACACCCTTGTGCATTTTTTCCTGAGGGTTCTGATTTAAGTTTGTACAGTATGCATTGCTCTGAATTTACTGGCTTGTTTCTTCTTTAGCTGGAGTAATTCCGTTTAAGCCCCACTCTGAGTTTATCATTCCATTATTAAAATAATAATGTATTTGTTATGATTTGAAAAAAGCATTTTATAGAGAGCAGTTCAACATGATTCTACCCTTCCAGTTCCCAGAAAGATAATTATTGGAATACAAGAAAATATTCCAATGTAGTAAAGTGTGTTTTAGAAAAGGATTTTTATTTTTAATCTAAGAGATCTGTCTTTTATGGTTTGCTTACCTGTCTTTTTTTTTTTTTTTTTTTTCCAGATCACAACAGTATCAGGAAATGAATTCCTCCTACAGTCAGATATTGACTTCATCATATTGGATTGGTTCCAGGCTATCAAAAATGCAATTGACAGATTGGTATGTATTTATTTTGACTATTACTTTTATTAATTAAAATGTACTCATTTAAATCTTTTTGCCTAAGCAGGCATATAACACAGACATTTAAATAGATAGTATGCACTGAGAGTTATTACAGTAGGTCCTTTTGAGTTTTAATAGAATCCACTAAAAACCACTTCAGCAGACAGGACTTGGGCAGCTAAATGTCATTTGATTTCTCTCTTTCCAAAATATGGTGCATTCATTTTTTTTTTCTGATATAACATGGACATTCATTTACTGGAAGCTATAAAATGCACACAAGCGCTTAATAACTACTGAGTTTTTACATTTTCAGTTTATGCAGCCTGTAATACATATTCTTGAAAACAAATATCAATGTATTTAGGACAATGCTTACTGTTATAATACCAGTAAATAATAGTCCTTTGTAACTGATTCTTATTATTCCTCTAGCTAAGCTAGATTATTCTTCTCGTGAAAATTACATATCTAGAATTTCATGAAAAAGCCTTGAATCATATATTCAGAGTATGGTTTTCAACAAATCAAATTCTCTAACAGCACACATTCTATGCTGACTCTAGAACAAATACCTAACTTTATGGCATTTTTGTTGTTAGGTGTCATTGTTGTATTTTTAGGTTCCAACTCATAGCTTCAGTGTGTACGTTTTCTGAGACAGTAAGTCTTTATGGGAGCAGAAAATCTCGACCTTCTCCTGAGGAGTGGCTGGTGGGTTTGAATTGTTGAGCTTGTTAGTAGTCCAGTGTTTATCCTACAGCACCACTAGCGCACCAATTTTATGACATTAATATTTATAAAACTTGAGGGAAAATACTTCAATAAAGTATACAATATGATAATACATTTTCTGTGTGTGATTTTAATGATATTATTTTGATACTATGATATTTAAGAAGTAAAATATAAATGGACATTTCTGTATTATCAGTATAATTCCCTTAGACACATGCATACACACATATTAGCATGGTGTTTTTATTAATATTGTACTCCAGAGTCAGACTACCTGAGTTCAATTACTGGTTCTATCATTACTAGCTGCATGGGCTTACACAAATCATTTAACTATTTTTGACCTCAGTTTCCTCATCTGGGTAATAAAAATAGTATTAATACTACCTGTCTCATAGAATTGTTACAGTGATTGAGTTAATGCACATGGAGTGCTTGAAATAATGTACAGCATTTAGTAAGCATTATATACATATATAAAACTATTCACTAAATTTGAGTATTGAGCCTCGAAATAATGATCTCAAAATATGATCTGATTTCAAGTTTTCCTTTAAATCTGTAAAATATACCATAAAACATTAAGCACTTCATGAATCCTTTAGTCCTAGTAACATCACTCATCCTAATTGCTTTTTCCAGGCAAAGCATTCATGTTTGCCATCGAAAAACCTGGAATTATTCAAAATCCAGAGATCCTCCAGTACAGAATTGCTAAGTCACTATGATAGTGAGATAAAAGAACAGAAACCGGAGCACAGAAAATCCTTAAGTAAGTAGTGCCTTTGAATTGGTCATTTTAACTTTGTCTAAATGCAGAGCTTATGAAATATAAATGCAGTAAAATGAGATTTGAGCCAAAATCATTCTACTCATGAAAGATTTGTAGCCATTTCCTGCTTTGTGAATCTAAGGACAGTCTGAGCGCTTTGCTTGCGTCATTGTTGATAATGCTTTTTGAGAAAATACTTGTTCTGAAATCATGGCCTCTGCTTACAGCATACTTCTGAATTTCTGAATAATGGCATTTAAATTGGTGACTGATTTTGAGAGTGGTAAATGTTAAGGGTCCCCAAACCTTGGTACTTTCCATATATAAAAAGATTTAGCTCAGTTTAGGCCTACAGGCTAAACAATCTTACACATTTTCAGATGAACAGAAAGATTTAGAAATGGGCTTTTAAGAGCTTGGTCACATCTATTTCTAACATGCTAAAAGAATTTATTTTGGAGTAAAAAGATTCAGCTCCATCATTTATAGTGACCTTGTGTATACCTCTAAACCCTTCTCAGAGCTGTGGAAACCCATCACATTTATCTCATAAAGGTGACTTGAGTCTTGCCTTCCTAAAAGATCAGGTAGGTATGTTGGCATCAGAGACACCAATTTCCTAAAGCTTTTTTTTGTATCATTTTAGCTGTTACCAAACTTCTTTTGGTATCTCACCATTTTTGTCTGGTGTTTCCTCAAGACCAAACATCAGTATAGTTGCATCCTGGATTTTTGAAATTAAGAAAAATCAGTTAGCAGAGGAGACCTACTGAAAGACTATATGAACATGTGTATAAGTACATATACTAGAATATTATGTATGTGTGTGTGTGTGTGTTTGTGTGTGTGTGTGCGCGCACATCAGGGGAAAATGTGTATTTATGAGAGAGCTTCAAAAGTTCTTAGAAAAATTTCATTATCTTTTTCACATGAAATTTCTGAAGACCTTTAGTGTGTTTATATGCACACACATGTGAGCACACACACATGAGCACATACATACGACAAGGATGTGGAAGCTAATTATATGTGATAACTTGCCTTCAAAAGCTGATTTATTTGGAGTTTACAAATCTAAGCATGAGCACTGAGATTAAAAAAAAAATGCCTTTTCTTGAAATCAAGGAATTATTTAAAGAGCTACACATTATTATTTCCATTAAACTGATCCAGACTCATAGCTATCTCATGAATGTCAGATAGTTGTTGTTGTTGTTAAGTGCTGTCAAGTCTGTTCTGACCCACAGAGATCCTGTATAGGGTTTCCTAGAGCCACTGGTGAGCTTGAACCACCAACCATGTGGTTCAAACCAGTTTTGCAGTCCAGCACCACACGAGGATTTCCTGAGTGTCAGATTGTTGTTGTTGTTGTTAAGTGCCAT